CACGACAAGTTCTCACAGAGCCCAGTCCTGTGCTGCCTGTTCTCCGCTTCAGGAGTCTCCAGGCTCCTGTCTTTCAGTGGACTGGGGGTAGGGGTCCTCATGGTCAGTTCTCCTTAAAGAGTTTGGGGAAACCTAAGACTGGGGTCCTTCATAGGCAGGTTCTGGATCAACAGGGGTGGAGAGAGGCTGTGGATCTGGATACCTGAGATCCACAGAGAACCTCCATCCTCACACTATTTTTTTTTAAATTTTGAAAGTAAAACAAGTTTGCTGTAAGAACAGCAAACACTACATTGCATAAAGAAAAAGGCAAAAGTCCTTCTCCAGGTGGTCCTCAGGGGTAAGCCCTGCAGCTGCTGAGCCCTCCTGTTCTGGGGGCGTCCTTTCACACCACCTACCTTTAGACCTCTAATCTAGTCTTGAGGTGCACAGAATTGCCGATTTTTTACACCTGCACACCCTCTACTGGGAGTGCTTCATAAACCCAAGGTGCGGCCAAGGAGAGGGAATGGCAGGCAGCAGGCATGGCCTAAGGCCCCTCCTCACCCCCCACCCCATATCTAAAATTCTGGTCCTGATCAAGTCCATTAGAACTTGGATAGCTAGGATGGCTTTGTAATTCCAGGGCCAAAAGGAAGCCGGGATCAATGCTACCTGCCAGGAAAAGAAAAAAGACACCAAATGTGTGACAACAACGACTCTAACCAATCCAAGGTAGCGCTTTCACCTAGAGGTAATAATACTAACCACTTATGGGAGTGCATATGAAGTGCCAGACTTTGTTTTAAGAGATAGTATTGTTAATATTGCTCTTCTCTAGATGAGGATGCTGGTGCTCTAGAAGGTTCACTGCAGAAGGAATTATAGGGCAGTGGTTTGGAGCTCAGGTTCTGCATTCTGACCACCTAGGTTTGCCATCCTGGTTCTGCTTCTTAACAACTGTGTAATCTTTGATTTGTGTTATTGAACCTCTCATGGCTCGATACTTTCTCTTGTGAAACGGGGATGATGACAATGTCTCCCTCAGAGGATGGCAGTGAGGATTACATGAGTTAGTATGTGTCAACTGCCTGACATAGAGAAGACACTCAATAAATGTTAGCACTAGGATTTTAAAAAGGGCCAAAGCCTCAGCCAGTGACTATTGGAGGAGGAATTTGAACCCAGGTATGCATGCTGTCAAGGTTCACAGGCTTACTCCTGCATCCCTAGAGCCTACCAGCTCCCAAGCCATCTCCCACCTTCAAGTTTTGGGTCCACTGATGTGAGAATGGCATCTCTGATGAGCCAGTGATTCCTAGTTGGTCATGAGAAGAAGAGAAGACTTTGGGACTGCTGAAGAGGGTCAGCTCTTGGCCTTTCTCCTGGTAGCAAAGTCTCTGTGCCTTCTACCCTGATCGGTGCCTGGCAGGGAGAATGGGGGATCCTCCATCCTTCTGGGGAGACTTGCTGGTCCTAAACTCAAACACTCTCAATATGACACAGAATTTGATTTCTAGATACCTGCTGAATCAGTGAAAGAGGCCCTCAGACATGACTCCCTGGAATGGTAATGTCCAACTGAGTCTTCAAAGATAGGAGGGAGTTACAAAGTGAGGGAAAGGGTATTTCAGGCAGAGGACACAATATGGACCAGAGAGGCTAGAAATAGTATCTGAGAAGGACTGAGTTCAAGGCAAGAAAAAGCAAAAGATGAGGCTGCAGAGGGCAGTGGTGGTCAGAGTTTGGGAATCTTCATGTAACTTGTTGAAGTGCTTGGACTTTTTCTTTGGTTGAAAATGAAAAGCCAATGAAGAGTTACAGAGGAGGTGACAGTGGTAAAGTTTTATCATCTGTAAAATGGGATAATAATAGTATCTACTTTATAGGGTTATTGCAGGATTAGGTGAGATGATGCAAATGAAGTACTTAGAATGACATCTAGAAAATGCTCGAGACATGTTTGTGGTGCAAATGATTGTAATGACCTGTTAGGAAGAGCAACCTCAAAGTCATAGGCCACCATTGTAGTACCTAGCATGAGTGAGGCATGTCTGGCTGACTGACTGGAGGTCAGGACCAGCCTTACATGAACATACAGTAGGTCATGGACTTTTCTGCCCACTAAAGAGTAGAACCTAAGCTCCACGGTATGGCCCATAAGCACTAGGTGACCTAACCCCTGCTAACTTTTTTCTTACACACTAGGAACCAGCTATATTGTCTTTTTTCTGATCCTCAAACATATCCAAACTGGCCCTTTGTCCTTGCTGTTCCCTCTGTCTGGAATGCCCTTCCCTCACATCTTCTAATGGCTGCTACTTTCTTGTCATAATGCTCTTGGCTCAAATGCCACTTCCTCTGAGAGGCCATCCTCAGGCCCCAACACATTAGCCTTATCACCAGATAAAATGATCTTACTGGGCTAGGTGCCAGTGCTCATGCCTGTAATTCAGGTGCTTTAGGAGGCTGAGGTGGTAGGATTGCTTGAGCCCAGGAGTTCAACATCGTAGTAAGCTGTGACTGCATCACTGTATTCACACTGGGTGACAGAGTGAGACCCTGGCTCTAAAACAAAAAAGAAAGGAAAATAGATTTTACTTGCTTTCCTATTTAGTGTCTTTTGTGCCCTATTCTCTATAGGATATAAACCCCATAAGGGTATGAACTGTGTCTTTCTTGTTCACTGCTGTATCCATAGGTTCTTGAACACTATCTAGAACATGAAGACCCTCAATAAATGTCAGAAAAAAATGAAGGGTCCCAAATGATCGCTATTAGAGATTCACTCCTTTGAAGCTGTTCTTAGGAAAGGTGGCCCATCAAGCTGTGATCAACTATTAGCACAGTAGCATGGATTCAGTAAGCTGATGACCTTATAGAGGTGGAGTCTGGGACTAAAGAGAAGGGACTTCACAAAACAAAGGAAGTTCTGATGAACAAGGACAGAAGTCAGGAAGCTACTGTAGGACTGTGAGGTCTGACAGGTGATGGAAAAGGGAGTGTGGGAGTGGGGAAGAAAGGGCTTGGGCAATCTCAGAGGCAATCTCAGAGGGAGGGCCATTGGCTCAGGTCCTACATTGCACCAAGACCCGCAAATTTAGTCTGCCTGGGCATGGTGGCTCATGCCTATAATCCCAACACTTTGGGAGGCTGTGGTGGAAGGATCGCCTGAGGTCAGGAGTTTAAGACCAGCCTGGGCATTTGGTAGTAAGCAGTATAGAGAAAATTAAGGAAGAGGAGATAGAGGGGTAGAGGAAATGACACCGTCTCTATTAAATAAATTTTAAAAAATGTAGTCATCTGACATTATCTCCAGAAGAGGTTATGTTAGGTCACAATCCCAGCGGGGCTGCTAGAAAGTTAGGTCAGGTCTGCTAGGGGTGTGGGTGTCTGGTGGGCAATCTGGTGCCACAAGAAAGATGCAAAGAATTGCACAGAAGTTAGATTAGAAAATATGATTTATTTAGAAAGTAAATTAGGGAGCAAGAAGAGAAAGAGAGGAGATTCACCTCCCCAAGGGAGGGAAGGGGACCAAAACTTAGGAAACATGGCAGTGGCCATAGCTCAAAGGGACATGGCCATACCAGAGTCTAGTAAGACAGTAGTGCTGACTGCTCATGGTTGAGTCCTTTTAATCCTTCCCTTTGATGGGGGAAGGTCATTAAGGTGATTGGGTGGTGGTCTGTTCCACATCATGGTGAAGAGGCAGGTAAGCCCAGATACTGACAGAAGGCAGGTGATAGACAGCAGGCAGATGGGTGAGTTAGTCTGTCTGTGTCATGAGGGTCATGAAACGTTGATTAGCTTAGCTTGGGTCTTATGGGTGGAAGCAAATACTCGGAATAGAAAAGCTAATTGGTAACAAGTTGGTGAGGGGTTTGTAAAGCAACTATCAATAGCTACCTCTGAGAAACCGGTTCTGTCCTTGGCTAGTGACTTGAGGGTAAGTTAAGTGAACTGCCAGAAAAACATGAGATTTAGGCACTGTTAAAATGGCTGCTCATTGTGTATATTAAATCCATACGTCCTTACAGGGTACAACTAGTCACAGACAGAGGCTTGAAAAAATATGCTCACTTGTACAAATGTAATTATAAAATGTAAATATCAAGAATATTCCAGAACTCATCTACCTGTGGCCCCTGACCCAGTTATTATTTTCCTCCTCCTGTTCACTCTCTCTTCACTTAGCTTCCAGAACACTATACTCTCCTGGTTCTACTTTCTCACTGGCAGCTCCTTCTAAATCTCCTCTGGTGCTTCTTGCTCATCTCATCACCTACTCCTAAAAGAATGTTCCCAGAAGGCTGCCAGGGTCTTTGCACCTGAATTTCCTCTGAAGGGACACTCTTTTTCAAGGCTGGCTCCCTCAATTGCCTCAAGTCTTTGCCTGAGTGTCACTTTCTCAGAGGTCGCTTCCCTACTACTTGAATTTCATTTCCTCTACCCCTCTATCTCCTCTTCCTTAATTTTCTCTATGGTGCTTACTACCAAATGACTTACTACGTGTAGCTCTTGTTTACTGCTTGTCTCCCATAACTAGTTTGTCAGTTCCAGGAAGCCAGAGGTTCGTCTTTTGTTTACTCCTATTTATCTCTATTGTTTAGAACAGTGCCTGGCACACAATAAGCCCTCAAGAAAGATTTGTCGAATTTTTCAATTGTGAGTTTTCAATTTTGCATTTTAAAATATACAGGAAGCCTTTCCAGGGGCCCCGTCCTATTTAAACAGGAGCCTAAAACATGCCTTTTCTTTCTTTTGAGAGGACTGGTGTGGCTTGCCTCGACCTAACAGCTACAGCAAGGAAGAGAGCAGGCACTCAAGAAATATTTCTGGACTTAATGACCCTTTGGAGTGGGGTAGCAGTGTGCAGCTTGGTTGTGGTGCTTGGAGGGGAAGCCCCTGGGGTGCACTGGCGCAGACTTGGCCCTTGCAGACAAAGTAATGGAGTTCTGTCCAACACGGGCAAGACACAGCTGCAAACGACAAGACTCCGTCACATGGAAGTGATAAATCCACACCGAGCGGCTCCACCGCGCAGCCGCAGAAGGCGTTGGCGCGCCAGCACGCAGCCGCAGAGGGAGCGAACGGGTCTGCGCAGCCGCAGAGGGAGCCGGCGGCCCCGGTACGAGTTCGGCCCCGGCTGTTTTGCGGCCAGCCTGAGACGGCTAGGGCCAGGCGGGTCTCGTCCCCGCACCCCTTACGCAGGCGGGTGAAGTTAGCTCCGCTGCGCCGCCAGGGCTGCTCCCCTAGGCCGCCGCCATCATGCTGCTGCCCGTGTTCACCCTGAAACTGCGCCACAAAATCAACCCCCGCATGGTGGCCATAGGGCGCTTCGACGGGACTCACCCGTGCCTGGCGGCTGCCACCCAAGCGGGCAAGGTAACCGCTCCCTCCGCACCGAGCCCGGGCCCCTGGGGACCCCGAGATCTCTGCCGGCCGCGCCCCTGTAATCCCGCCCCCCACTCTCCGAACCCGCCCCCCCCACCCCTTGTTGCCTGGCAACCGGTCGACCGTAGCTGGGTAGCTCTCCAGCCTGCCAAGGAGGATGGGGTCTTACTGGAACAGCTTTCCTGAGCGGTTGGCGTTTGCTTTTCGTGGGGCACTTGGACGCCGACAAGTGTTGGAGCCCCGGGGCAGATAGGGAGCTTAGGGAAGAGAAGTTTCCGTAAGACAAGGGGCTTGGTCAGGCTTAGCAGTAATAGCAGACCCCAGTATCAAAGCCAGGCTCTCTCAGCTTGTCACTTGGCACTCCTTCCGCCTCTCACACTGCTTTTTTTTTTTTAACAGAACGACAACGAAAAAAGAATACCAAGGTCTCTAAATTAAGTTACTCAAATTGCACTTTTTCTTTTTTTTTTTTTTTGAATTGGAGTCTCACTCTGTCGCCCTGGAGTGCAGGGGCACGCTCCTGGCAACCGCAGCCTCGGCCTGCTGCGCTCCGGCAAGGCTTCCACCTCAGTCTTCCAAGTCGCCGGAACTGCAGGCGTCCGCTGCTTCGCCAGGCTAATTTTTGATTTACTGTAGAGACGAGGTCTTACCAGGTTGCCCGGGTGGGTCTCGAACCTGCAGGCTCAGGCAATCCACTCCCAAAGTGCTGGGATTACAGTCTGAGCCACCGAACCCGGCCTGCACGTTTGATCCTTGTCCATGTACATTCAGGCCTTTTCCCATAATTTATTTACTAATTATTTATTAGGATTTATTAGGTGCTTACTATGTGCCACGTGTGAGAGTTACAGAGATAAAAAAGACATGATCATTCAACATTCACCAGACTTGTCCTGAACACCGTCTTTATAGATTTTGGGGGATTCAGAGATAAAATTGGAGCCCCTACTTTCAGAAAGCTTATAGTACAGAAAGAAAACAGCAGACAATGCAAATCAAAGCCCTGTATATTGCTGAAGACATGCCCAAAATACATGTAATACAATGACACCAAGGATAATAACTTCTAACAGGTACAGAACTTGGTTACATTAATTATCTCAGCATCCTTGCTACAAGGCCAAGGGTTGCAGCATAGCATAGGTGTAATGAATCCTGGCTCTAGTACCTACTAATTTCGTGACCTTGGGCAAGGTACTTAATAATAGTACCTAATACCAGGGTGATGAGGATGTTAATACATGTAAGGCACTTGGCATATAGCAAGTGGTCACTGTTAGCTGTTGTTATTTTCTTTTTATGACTCCTACTTTGTTGATTAGAAAGTGGGCCAGCGCAGTGACTCATGCCTGTAATCCCAGCACTTAGGGAGGCTGATGAGAGGATTGCCTGAGCCCACGGGTTTGAGATCAGCCTTGGGCAACCTGGTGAGTCCTCATTTCTACAATAAATCAAAAAATTAGCTGGGTATGGTGGCGCATGCCTGTAGTTACAGCTACTTGGAAGGCTGAAGCAGAAGGACCACCTGAGCCCAACAGGTTGAGGCTGCGGTGACCATGAGTGTGCCACTGCACTCCAGCCTGGGCGACAGAATGAGACCCAGACTCAAAAAAAAAAAAAAAAGTGGCAGAAATGTGATTAAAGTGCATGTTTTCTGACCCAGTGTAGATTTAATAAGATAGCATTTGTGTAATGATTTATAGTGTTCAACACACTTCCACATATGTTGTATGATATGTTTTGGAATACATAAGTAAAAAATAAGGATTCATTTTCTTTTTTTTGAGTTGGGGTCTCACTCTGTCACTCAAGCTAGAGTGCAGTGGCATGCTCACGGCCACCACAGCCTTGACCTGCTGGGCTCAGGTGATCCTTCTGCCTCAGCTTTCCAAGTAGCTGGAACTTCGCCATCATGCCTGGCTAATTTATCTCAATTTATTGTAGAGATGAGGTCTCGCCAAGTTGTCCAGGCTGGTCTTGATCCTGTGGGCTCAGGCAGTCCTCTTACCTTGGCCTCCTAAAGTGCTGGGATTATAGATGTTAGCCACCGCGCCCAGCCAGAATTCATTTTCATTAAGTAGCATGATGGAGTTAAGCTCTTAGTACAGGGTCTGGCATGTCATCATATTAGCTGTTGTTATTGTTAGGTGACACTGACAAATACCAAAAAGAAATTCATATTGGTTCTGCTGAAGGTGCACGGCAGCCATATAAATGGGCTGAAAATACCCCAGTGATATTAGCTCAACCCATAATTTGAGGGCTGTGACAGCAGTGCTAACCGTGCAGGTGCATTGGTGAATGTGACAGACGAGTTTTGCCATTGGAGCTTACATTTGAAAAGGACAACCAGGCATTTAACAGAATATACAGCTGTTTTCATGGGAGAAAAAGAATAAAGTGTTCGGTATGAGGGAGGCTTTTGTTGTAGATAGGGTGATCATACAGGCCACTAATAACATTTGATCAGAGGCTTGAAGAAACTGAGGAAGCGAGTTCTGCAGATTTGTGGGAGAAGTAAGTGCTTTGCAGGCAGAAAGACCTTTGCCTTGGGTGAAGGTTTGCTTATTGGAACATGAGGAAGCTGCTGGGGCTGGAATGCAATGAGGTTGGCATGAGGTGGCCTTGAGCCAGATCATATAGGGCCTGTGGGCCACGGTAAGGGCTGGGTTTTCATACTGACCATGATGGGAAGCCACTGAGGGTTTTGATAAGGTAAGTGATGGGATTTGCTTTATGTTTTAGATAAAGAATAAGTCTGGCTGGTATGTGGTGGATGTGCTGCAGAGGGATGCAGGAAGGTGGACTTAGGAGCAGAAGTGAGGAGATCAGGCAGAGGTTTCTATGGACGCTCCCACAGTAGAGTGTGACCTGTAGTGGGAGGTGGAAGCGCTTGATTCCTGGGCGATTTTGGAAGATTGAAAAAAAGGGCCTTTGTCCTGTGTAATTGGATACTTTGTGTGCAGAACTTTAAACAAATCTTAAAAGTTCTGCTCTTTTACCTTGAGACTTTGAAAAGAATTAGTAATATTTTATGACTCAATTAACGTGTGAATATATTCTCTTAAAATAATTAAACATTACAGGTAGGGTTAAAGCCCTCTTTGACCGCTCTGTGTCTGGACACAGAACTTTGTTATTATATCTGGGAACATGTGAACATGGAGCTCGGTTTTCTTGCAGGATGAACAGCAGTGTTTTCCTTTGGGGACATTTTTTCTCTCACCATGGAGCTCAGGGGAAGAGTTGAATTCATATTGTCAGCAGCTCTTCCTCAGTTGGGACAAATTTGTGAACTTCAGGCAATCCTTTGGAAGGAGTCAAAAAAAAAGCACCAGCAGTTGACCGTTTGTCATGTGCCTGAGCTTGGCCTTTTTCTTGTCTCCTTGGGGACTCCCTGTTGTTTCTGTGTGCAGAGAACAACAGGAGGGGAACTGGGGAGAACTCTGACTCCTGGGACTCTTGTTGCTCTCGGTAGAAATCACAAGCTCCATTCCAACAACATGAACATGGAACCTATAAGTTTTTCCTTTCCTGTTCTTTCTCAGCATCTCTAATTTGTGGAAAATTCTGTAAGATTTGTTTTGATTAGAACTGTTACAAAAGGAGGTGTGATGTGGTGGCTACGGCCTATGGTTTGGAGCAAGCTAGGCTTCATGTCTTATTCCTGTCACTTACTTGTCTCAAGACCTTGGCAAAAGGGCCTTAACTACACTGACCTTATCTGTAAATCAGGGGTTGGTGTGAGGATCAAATACGTTCGATGTTTATAAAAACATACTGTAGGCAGTTGCAGTGACTCATGCCTGTAATCCCAGTGCTTTGAGATTGTTTGAGGCCAGGAGTTCAAGAACAGCCTGGGCAACAGTGAGACCTCATCTCTACAAAAAAATCAAAAATATTAGCTGGGTGTAGTGGCATGTGCCTGTAGTTCCAACTACTTGGGAGGCTGAGGTAGAAGGATCATCTGAACCCAGGAAGTTGAGACTATGGTGAGCCATGATCATGCCACTGCACTCAAGCCTGGGCAACAGAGTGAGACCCTGACTCAAATTAATTGATTAATTAATTAATTAATTAATGCATGTTGTAAAGTATCACACAAATGAAAACATGAAGGCAATATTCAGTAGCTGCACACCTTTTTGTGTGTTTTTAGTCAATTCTTTTGAAAATTATTTTTTGTTAAGTAGGCTGCCTTGGATAGGTAATAACTTAAACTAAAAAAAAAAAATCCTGTTTGCATTTACGCCAAATGGATGAAATATTCCTTTAAAATTAACAAATTTGGCTGGGCTCAGTGGCTCAGCCTATAATCCCAGCACTTAGGGAGGCCGAGGTGAGTGGATTGCTGAGCCAGTGGGTTCGAGACCCACCCGGGCAACTTGGCCAGAACTCGTTTCTACAATAAATAAAAAATGAGCCAGGTGTGGTAGCGCACACCTGTAGTTCTGGCTACTTGGAAGGCTGAAGCAGAGGGATCGCCGGAGCCCAGCAGTGGCCGGGAATGTGCCACTGCACTCCAGTCTGGGCGACAGAGTAAGACTCCAACTCAAATAATAATAATAATAATAATAATAATAATAAAGTAAAATAAACAAATTTTAGAACTAAGTGTTCAAGGCATCTCCAGTTAGTGTTTCCCATCCTTTCCCCCCCCATTTTGTCCCCCATGAAGGTTTGTTTAGACAATTAACATTTTCCTAGTGAGATTTTAATACCACAGGTATACTGCATGCCTCTTTTTGTACTGAATTATAGAAGCCCTGCGAAGGAATACCAGTCATTCTAATATTTAAGATTCCCCCATCCTAAACCCAGATACCTGTCTTGGGAGTGATATCACGCCTCTTAAGAATGCATTTTCAGCCGGGCTCGGTGGCTCAGCCTGTAATCCCGCGCCTTTGGGAGGCTGAGGTGAGTGGATTGCCTGAGCCCG